AACCGAAGAGAACTTCTTCTCTTCTTTTTTTTTTTCAACAAGCGAAACAAAAATCAGAGACATCTGTTGCATATTAATATGGCAGATCGTGACAGAGATTTGACGTATACGCTCTCTTCGGTACCGATAATTGGCAATGGCGCCAAATGGAATTATCTCAAAGTCGTTGTAACGACTGCAATTTCGTACAGCGAGGAAAAGGTCAATCGATTAAGAACGTAAATTGTGCACGTGTCATTTCATAATTGCGTAAACGTCAAATGTCAAAGTGACATTGACAGTTTTATTTATATATTTAATAAGACAGTCGTACCAACCGTTATATATTATACCCATAAAAAAAATTTTCTTCTGTAATTGCATATTTAATTATATAATTGGCATTTGTGGTTATCGTGAGTAATTAGTTGTAATTTGAAGATTCTACATTGAAAAGTTGCAAGAAAATTGGTAATTACCATAAATCTGACAGTACGCTTATTAGAAAGGCTATAGTTTCTTCATTAATTTTCATCTTAAATAATTGTTACTGAGTAATTAAATAAAACGTGAAGATGCGAAATTTACAAAAAATGTCAAATGTCAAAATGACATTGTTAACTAAACAGTTTTATATTACTAAATGTATTATATAATAACAATTCAGAAAATTTGCAGAAATGCAGGTAGATTTTAACCGGAACTGCTAAATGAATGGCATTTGTTGACGTGCGGATTTGTACCATTCATCTGGGGAATTAAGTGAATTATAAAAGATAAACATCGTCGAGCGGAGTATCGAATTTCATCTGGATAAAAGCGGCTTCTTTCTCTGCGTTCTTTCTTTTTATACACGAAAATTACCCTTTCTTTTGGGTGGGTAATTACTCCTTTGTGCGTTCCTTCCATTCTCTGCACCGAAATTCTGAACAGCAGCTTTCTCTCTCCGAAACGCATTCAAACGTCTGCAAACGTCCTTTCTTTCTCTCTTCCTCTCAGCAGTTTTGGGTTGCGCGACGGGAGACCTCGTCTGTTTATTCTCTTAAGCATACGAGGCATCAATTATATACCTGGGCTGCCGGTTGCTGTATTGGTTAAAGTGCTTTACCTTGTAGACCGGAGACGTTTTTACAGTTCGCCATCCAGTTTTATAGTTTTCTTTCTTTTGTGGTCCTTTCAGTCTCTCTGTTTTTTTTTGTATCTCGTCCGAAAGATGCGCGACCCACCGCATCTCAGGACCACTTTTATCCTCTTTTTTTTTTCGCATTTTATAGACCAATCCGTCCGAATAAGGCCTTAATTGAACGTCTCGGCGATAATGCAACAATCCTTGCGAAACTGGAACACATCACAGTTGACAATTCTCCAATGAATTTCATAATCTATTAGATATGAATCGATTTCTTTTTCATTTACTTTTATTTTTATTCGCTTCGCTCACCTTTAAAACGCGCTCACTGATGGTGTTCCCCATGGTATAACCTTGGTAACGTGAGAATCCCAATAAGTCTTAAAT